CCACAACGTTTGTGTTGCAAATAAATGTAAGCGCGGAAAGATATCTTGTCACAGTCCAAATCATTATTATCAGGTCATCAAACCGAGCAACGGCATAATAACGTTTCCACTATGTCCCCGGCACGTGAAAGGCCGCAACATATTGTTATGACCAATGCTTCTTTTGGGCTTAATCCCATTAAAGCGAGAGATTACGATAAAGTGCGTGTGTAGTGTGGAAGTACATACACCATTGGAAGCAGTAGTCAGGGGCCCAAGGAAACGAAATGTTGCGTTTTTGTGGTCAAAGGTGCGCTAGTTGCAGCGTACAAGGCTTGCCATTCCTTTCTGAGCCCCGCCACGGTCTGTGCTCCGCCCCCAGCAGCAGCGCCCTTCGATTGCCAATGTGACGAGATATTCCACTTCCAGAGTGTATCCTATAACTTTTCATGGGATGCGTGATCAATCAAAGCATGATGCTTGCTGAAATGATAGAGGCTATCAGCATAACATGTGCAAACGACCTCCTAATTGGTTGCTAGCTCGTCCATTATCGGAGGTCAACGGGCAAAGAAAGGGGTCCCATTTTGCGCCTTCTTGACGGATTTCTTTGCTTTTTTCGCCACTGGGGCATTATTCAGCATCTCCACTTCCACTATGAACCCAGTCCAAACTTATCGTAATCCCTCGCTTTAAGTAACGTAATATTTCTTAACCAAATTTCATTACAAAGTTTGATGAACAATTAGGAATGGCACTACAACAACTATGAGATCGCTCGTTATATATGCTGCCGATCCGAACCACTTACCGTCGATGAATCATGCTGCTTCCCGATTTCGCATGACACCTTACTCTTTAACTGCATACGCTTTGCGGTTGAATACATGCACGCTAGTAATAGCGACTAACACATACAGCTAGCCCGTCACAAGTTAGCCCGAATTGGTTTTTCCGTGCTCTCTTTCTGATTGCCAGAAAAGTCCAGGTGATCCGAAATTTCTGCTTTGAGTACCTGAATCCTCTATCAATCCAAGCCAATATCAAAAAATTATCAACCATATCTCAGACAAAGGGTCACAATAAATAGAAAAATAAATGAAATAGCGGTGCAATGGCAATACCAATTTGAATCTAACACAAACCTAGACAATATACCTTTTAATTTCCGCACCGTTTGAGAATTCTTTCCCACAATAAATGCGAAGGTGAGCAGGAAAGTAAGTTCAGAGAAAGACCAAGCGACTATGCTCTAAGTGTGCCGACGACACCCAGGCTAAATATATGCCCCGGCGACTAGCATGCCCTTCCGCGCGCGTTATCGCGCACGCCTGCGCCACTGATCACTGCCCACTGTTTGTTCGCCTTAAAGCAACAGTTCAGGAACGGTTTCGCGGGAAAAAAACCACCAATAATGAAGTTGTAGATGAAAACCAGACGATTAATGTATGAAAAACTGGAAAAAAAACGTCGGGGAGGGTCTTAGACAGGTACTCTCCCTCTGCCGCTCAGCAATGGATAAAGACGCACGTTGGACGAGTTGTCTGAACGTGCCCGCTGTAAACGCGCTCCATTTTTCAATCAATTTTCCCTGTGGTCCCAAAACGAGCACGATTGCCGACGCGTCCAATGACGGCCGGCAAGGGGGCGGGATTGGGGAAATCCCCAAGAACACCCATGTTTGAGGGACTTTCCACCCTGTTTTTGAGTTTCTGAGGTAAGTTCGTTTATTATTTCCACTGCATATGTTCTTCACTAGGGCTCGTGTATCCCTCAGTAGTAGTGGCATTGAAATTTTCGGACCCTCCCTGAACTGTTGCTTTAAGGGTAGAACAGGTTGGGCCGCCTTTTCCTTGTAATTGCTAACGAAGTTACTTGCTTTTCTTGTACGATGTTGCACGGAGCATTTTGCGTTTGTATTTGACTTACAAATCAACCCACTGTTTCAGAGAGTTCTGCCCTTAGCAACTTCGTCCCCAGATAGACTTAGCATTTGACGCAAAAGACTTGGTATGGATCGCTTGAATCACGCGAAGTGAGGTAGAAGAGCGTTAATACTAACTGGCGTATAGCGTATAGATCAACCAGTTTTCACCAGCTCCGCCCCGCCTACCGCGCGCATTGATAGAACTGACAATCGATGAAGCTTTAGGTTTCACCGCTAAATTATAGCTGCTTCGTTAAATGTATTACTGTCCGTTGCATAGGCTGCCCATCTTGGCTGTATCTCACTGTTTGATAAGCGCAGTGAAGTGCACAGCTAAAGTGATGATGTAAACAACCACTATGCGTCGAGTATCGAGGTAATTTAGCGGTCGAATATCTCAAAACGGAATGCCTAGTATTCATTATCATATTTATTCGAGCATCCCATTCATCCTCAAGAACTCTAGAAGGTGTAGCGGTCGAAGGAGTTTACAATTACAAAACCGAAGCGAAGTTTCGAAGTTTGTCAAGATGCACATGCTCAGCGTTACTTACAGATGTAATGCACCATGTGTTCGTGGCGTGATGTGTAGAACGCTCACCATGTTGATCATCGAAAACGACAGGACAGCTTTGATACCCCGTTCACTTGAAAATGGAGCCAAAACAACTCTACACTGCATGGTTATAGCTTTCGCTATCTTACAATGAACAGCAGTCGTCCAAGCAACAAAGAAAATTGTATTATTTATAGTCCCGACTCGTTTTACCCAGTGTACATACAAATCCAACTTCGAGGTAACAGCTCATTTATTTATTTATGTTGGACAATGGATTTGTCCGGCCTCGACCTTTTTTCGCACAAACGTTCTCAGCAAAAAACTGAAAAGCGTAACCTAGTTAAATTGATGATACACTTCGTCATTAATTTACGCTTTTGTTCCATTTTGATTTTTGTTCCTTCGCTTGGCCGAAGGGGCTCTAGGAATTCTAAAAAACTTCAGTTCGAGCGGTTTCTCTCTTTGTGTAAACCAAAGAATGCTGTCGAAATGTTTATTTCTGCCGCTTGGGCTTTCCAATTTCTAAGTACTACATCTGAGTACATTTGTAATTCTGAAGAACAATGACAAAGGTTTTGTATAGCGGAAAAAGCAATTCCGAACTATTCCCCTAATACCCTCCCATAAAATAAAAATATCAAAAGGGGTCTCGCTGGAATTACCACGAAAGGGTTTACCAGTATAACTAGTTTTGTCCGAATTTATGAAATACTATAGAAGAAATAGAAACAGCCACCATGTTAGCGAGGTGTTAAAGGTAGAGGGATTGTGAAATTTATTGTTTGGAAGGGGGGGGATGTTAAAGACGCAACGGGTCCGACTATCTGCCCGTGATTGCTTCTCAAGGTCAGTTTATAACTCTACTCACGTGTCTACTACAAAGGTTACCTGCAGGTCTACTTAAGGTCCTGATAAAAATCCAAATCACCTAAATAAAGATCATTGGTTGTTTTCAGTGCGTCAAATTCGCTCTCATAAGTCGTTATCCCAGAATCGTTGTACAGTACTGACCATAAAACAGTTAACGCAGATATATCGCATTTTTTTATTTTGTCATAACTCATGCGCTGCCACGTGATACTGCTCCATAATTTTCTTACAGCCGAATCTACTCTGTGATTCTGTCACTATTGTATAGATTTAAGCATTTTGAACTGCCAAAGATGAGCTGCATAACTTATGCTTTACATACATTCGGGAAGCAACAGATGAGTCCGAGTGAAGTGCCTACGCAATACCTGAAAACTAGACATGACGCACAGAGAGCTTGCTTCGTTTCAAAGGCGCATTACGCGTTCAACTGGTATTACCCCGCACGAATATGAAAGTAGGAGAAAATGGTTACCTACCTGAAGGCAGAATTTACGATGAAAAGTTAGCTCATTGGAAATAAGGGTAGAGGTGGTCAGTGGAGCAGGGATGAAGAAGAAACCATTTGAAACGGCCCGAAACCCGAGAAATGGGACCCCTTCCTTGCCCGTTGATTTGCGCATTGATGCGACTCTCATCGCTGTGCCCTCTTCAACACTACGCTCTCTCTGCTATTAGATAATCGGTGGGCGTACCCGCCAACCGCGCCAAGAGTGAGCCATGCTAGATCGCCGAGGTCAAATCTTTCGCTGCCAATTGCGCGTCAGGTCCGCACCCTCAGGAGGTCCGCCTGTCTCCCAACTATGCAATTTTCCCCTTCTTTGACCTTCGTTCTTATCGTGAATTCCTCCTTCAAAATCTTTCCGACCTTTAACTTTTCACCTTCTATTGCAAACTTTTCTAACTCATTGAATGTTTTTCATATACTCAAAAATTCGAGAGGTTTAACACAATTCCCTTCTGTGCTGCGCAGCATAATTCGTGGACCGCGCCGTATTCCTCGCTACATTCCCCTTTTTGGCTCCTTCCAGGTGTTGTGATCACACAAGAAGGGATTTGAAAGCTTCATTTTTATCGGCAACAGTAATCTTATGCGCGGAATTTTGCACACTTTAGCGAGTCACCCACAGTGCATTTGTGCAGTGAAGGAATACAAATTTCCTATACGACCCTTTCAATCATCCGCTGCGTAAGAGCCTGATGCATGTATGTATGTATATAGGTATGTATAGTCAATTGGTAGAGGCTGATCATTTCGATAGCAATGTGAACAATCTATTTCTGGAATTTTCAATAAGTGATGACATTGAAAGCAAAAAGCAGGAGAATTTTAATAATTCTTATGCATGGTGAGACATTCTTATTAATTGTGAACCATTCTTCATAAAACAAGGATTTTGACCTGAAATTACATAAACATGGAAGAGCTTTCCTCGATTATTAAAATTTCTGCTGTATAAATTGCGCTGATTCGAAGACTTTTCACATTGTCCTTTTTTCGTAATCTTTCTCTCACAGCCGATTTGAAGTGCCACACAAATGCTCTTCCACTAGTCTCTCTCAATTCTTAAAATTACTTTTTTTGAAGACGGATTCTAGTGGAGTGCGCCAAATTAGCTTCCGGAATAAATATCAAATTTTATAAAGTAAACATATTGTGTCCAGATGATGTTCCTCGCAATCTTTCTTCTCTTACCCATGACTGGGTTCTCAGGATTTATTTCGAGAGAAGAAAATATAAGGTTAAAAGCTAACTGTGGCGCACATCGTCTACACGCAGGTGAGTTTGAACACGTTCTTCTTCAACGAGACTAGCGACGGGAATTTTTCACATTTTCATGGTGAAGAACAATAAACGGGAACAACCAACAACCAGCCACTGTTTTTGAGGCCTTAAAAGAATTCGAAGAGAAACCTTGTGGTTATGAGCGAGAGCGTCAGTTGAACCAATCATAGCATCGCAACATCACTAAACGTTTTGGCAGTTTGTTATTAGAACCCATGTACCTAACCTTTTTTCATGACTTAGCCATCAACCTCATTAGGTGAAGAGGTTTATCGTTATCAACGGTCACTTTCTTTATATAAATCCGTGACCACAGAGTGTTTGGGGTCAGGGAAAGAAAGGTTTCACAGCAAAAGGAAGTATTGGGTTATTGAAGGCCCTGCGACATCCCAAGCAGACTCCTTTAAGACAGATTGAAAAGCCTGCCAGTGGTTTTGACAGTTTACTACCTAGTGTATCTTCGCGCCTTCTGATGGAAGTTACGTAAAGGTCCGATGTAGTCGTATGAGTTTGCACCCTCAAATTCCTCTTTGAATCGAGTAATCCTTTGATCTGTTGAGAGTTACCAGTTCCCACAAAGGCACTCAGACTAAGTCGTTCCACTTAGCATATGTGTTATATTCGGGAAGGAGGTCCAGATCATAGGCTCTCATTGGTTATTTCACTACAACGAAAGCAAGTTTGGCTGTAGGAAATTAGGAAGGTAATGATGAGCGTTGGCTTCGCTCACCAGAGGAGCGAAGTCAACGCTTATCACACACTCCATCCACCCTGTCCATGTAGAGTTGCTTTTGTAATTTCTTGCATTTAGGACCGATAGCGAAATCCATGCCTGGTCAGCTAGTCGAAAGGAATGAATTCCCGTGGATAGCAGCGATTTCGCATGGTTCTCTGCTAGGAAAAAGTGAGTTAGTTTGGGGCTAATTTATCTTCTCGAAAAGCATAAAGACAAGGTCTAGGATAGAGTGGAAAAGTTGTTTGGGGTGGAGAAAGATAAGGACACTCATGATATCTAATCAGAGTGGCAATATCTAATCAAAGTGGAGTTGCGGAAGAGCGGTCATATCTAATCAACATTCAGAGCACAGGCTCTGAGTGTACGATTAGATAGGATACCAACCCGGGATTCCGTACAAAATCGATACCTGGAAGACCCTTCCTTCAAGGACTTGCGTATCGATCGCAGGAATTTTGTGAAAAAGAAGCGTTAGGCAATAATCCAGTCCACATCAAAGAGTTGGGGTAGGCGCGTCACCTCAAATGATATGGCGTCAGCCGCAATTGATAGATTTGGCGCGGATAAGCTGCTTCCAAAATTCATCCCTCGGTAGCCCTCGCATACTGACCACAGAACTCGGGCGGGGGTTCTGCGCGCCACTTCCGGGTGACGTCCTAGCATTTAACACTGATTCTTTTGCGACTTTTAGACATGGTTGGTGTGACTGGGGTGTTCATCAGCCGGCCTGTCAACCTGGGCCTGACGCTGGTACTAGAACCATTTTTGCAATTTTTGCAAGGCATGGTTAACCTCGGCAGGGATCGAACTCGCGGTTTTCAGAGGTGCAGACATGAGTCTAACCTCTTAACCACTCGGCTATCCCTGCTAATACGCTTCACATATCCTCATGTTACAATTAACCTCTGGGTTTTGCAAGCCTTTATCGACTTTTTCCCAGTCTCCTGAACTTAAACCGAATTATGAACTTAGGTGGCAAATGGTGCATGTCCGACTAACCAATAGCTGTTGACCACCCTTCCTCCCCAGCCTCTCGAAACTTTTCCCCGGTATCTGGGTGTTTTTACAGCCAAATTATGATCAGTTGTAGTAAACATAACCCAGTTTCGTGCCCATCCCACATACCGATATCTTCTGCAACCTT